CCCGGCCCACACTGGATTTCGTCACCCCCAAACTCACCCCACACGCCTCTGCGGGGCTCAACGGCCTCAGCCCCGAACTATCCATTAACGGCACAGCCTCGCCGGGTTACGAGAGGGGCAGTGGCAGCGGAATGGGCAAAAACGAGCTCCTCACCCGCTACCTGCCTGTTTCCCCTGACCACGAAATTGTGCCGCCCACCCCAGACTCAAGAACCAGGCAGCTAGGGCAACCCCTGCCCGACTACACCCGCTTTTCTCCAGCTAAGATTGCCCTCCGCAGGCACCTCAACCAAGATTCGGCTGCCAATCAGTTTAGAGCCCTAGGCAACATCCACCGGTGAGTAAAATTAACGTTGAGTTGACTAAGTACTTGTTGATTGGTCACTGATCACTCACAGCTCTTTTCAGGGGTGACACCAGTGCTGTTTCATCTCCAGTGCTGGGATTAAAACATTCTTGCTCCTCACCCAGTTCAGCTGATATTCAAGCGACCATCACACCCAAGAGCACAGATAAAGAAAAGAGCCCAGCTGCCCCCAGCGACACCATAACCAGTCTACCAATCAGCATCCCCCTCAGCACTGTGCATCCCAGCAAACTTCCTGTCAGCATCCCACTGGCCAGCGTGGTGCTGCCGAACCGTGCAGAAAGATTGGTATGGATCTGTGTGGGAGGAAGTCATGATATACAGACTTGTGGGTGTTTTCTGCAAACATTTTAGCAATTATTCAAGCTGTGGTATTCTTTTGGCAGAGGAACACACCTAGTCCAGTTTCGAATCCTGCGGGACAGAGCAATGGCAAGCCGCCTCTCACGCCTACCTCAGGTACAGTCCCGCTGCCTACTTTGGCCTGCTTTGTTTGTCATAGATGAAGCTTAGCAGTTAGTTAGTGCATGTAATTCAAACCATTGCACTAGGAAACTTGACTTTTGCCACGTTTTGGAAGTCAGCATGAAATAAAATTGCATGTTATTAAAATGTATATTCCTTTTTAGAAATAAATAAATAATACTGCTTTAAAAAGACCACAATTTAATTAAGCCTTTTTAAAAATCCTGAAAAGTGGTTTTTGAATGTGGCCTGTGGTGCTCACATGGGTAGTGTGTGTTTAATTCCGACTTGTGACCATTCCTGATCCAATTTTCCCCATCATTTCCTGTGCTTTCTTCATTTTTGTAATCAACTGAATTGGCAAAATGGCCAAAGGTCTGCTTTTTTTGACCACCTCCACCCTGGAACCACATAACCAGACATAATAGGACAAGGATTCCCGCAGTCTTGGAAAACCTGTATGAGGAAGCCTCATTTTACAAGTGTGATTTCTAGACCTAGATAAGTCATGTAAATTAATAAAATCTTAATTTTTATAATAAACTTTTTTTCTAGTTATTCCAAACTATTATATATTTTATAATTATATATTATATAATTATATATTTTATCAGTTAAAAATTGTGAGCAAAAAATTATTAAAAAAAAAACCTTATCCAGTCGGCGCCGATAGCCTCATGGGCAGCGTGCCGACATACAGTGCCGCTGCGCTACGAGCGTCCCGAATTTGAATCCCTGCTTGACGACCTTTGCCGATCCCACCCCTCTCTCTCTCTCTCCCACTTCGCTTCATGTCAACTCTAAACTGGCCTATCAAAATGAAGGCAAAAACAACAAAAATAAATCTTAAAAAAAAATTCTTATCCAGTAAATCACAAGTGACTGCAAAAGGCTTGTAAATTCATTGGTTAAAAAAAAAAAAAAAAAAATTTTGGCGCCAATAGCCTCGTGGTTAGCGCATCGACATACTGCACTCGCTGCAACTCGAGTTCGATTCCCATCTCGAGGTCCTTTGTCGATCCCGCTCCCCTCTCTCCCGCTTTCCTGTCATCTCGCTACTGTCTTGTCCCAGGCATAAAAACCCCATAAATATAAAAAGAAGAACATTCAACTCTTAAAACGTCTGGAATTCTGATATTTAATTCAAAGAACCAACAAGGGTCCATACAGAACCAACGAACCCCAAGAACCAACAAGGGTGTAAATGTAACTTTTGCATACTGTCATAGACATTGGGCGGGCCTGTATTCAGAAAGAGTTGAGAACGTCCAATCTAATCTAACATCATCCATCCATGTAGTTTACATACTTTAGTACTGTACTAAATCCAAAATCCGTTTCCTCTTAGGGTATTCCTCCAGCTCAGGGTTGGTGAATGGCTCTCACTCCGCCATGCTGACCGAGGACCAAGACTGTGACGCTGCGTCCCCTCCCCCCCACAGCACTCCCATCATGGGCCTCCAGCCTCGTGGCTCTGGCCTCAGTCCTGCGCTGGGCACCGGAGGCGTGCTGCAGTACGCTGACGGCCCACCGAGGCTTCCTGAGGACGGCCATAACCGGCAGGGCCCCGAATCCGACACGGAGCCCTTGGACAGCGAGGCTCGTCGCCGTATCTTTTTCTCCTCGTCCTCCTCTTCCTCCTCGTCTTCGTCCTCCACAGGAGGCTCAAGGCTCCACCATGGGTCGGTAAAGCAGGGTCACCATCATCACAGTAAGCACCATCACCACCATCATCATCACTCTCCGAGCTCCCACAGCCAAGAGGGGCGGAAACGAGGGCGGCGGAAGCGCAGCTCCTCTGGGGCCATTCCCATTAGCGGATCCCCCAAAAGAAGGGCATTTCCAGGACTTGGCTGCTCAAGCCATTCTTCTGGATCACCGCTTAATATCAATTCAATGGTGAGCTGACCAAAAATGGCATCTGTTTGTATTGCTCAAACTTACGATTGTCCTGAAATCAGACCCGAAATGTTTGTTCTTTTACCAGGTGAACAACATAAACCAGCCTTTGGAGATCTCCGCCATTTCTTCCCCGGAGCAGTCAGGACGAAGCCCGTGCAGGACAGATCTAGATCAGCCTCCTGTGCTCAAAAGAGAGCGTCCCCTGGAGCTCAACAACACAGGCCGTTATTCCTCAACCCCTAGTTCAGATGAAGAGGGCACCAATTATGCCCCGGACACCTCTAGTTCAAGCCGGTAATTGCTCTTTTCTTTCAAATCTGGTTCATTGGTGTTTAAACTTTGTAGATCATCGAAAAGATGGTTGATGGAGAACTGTTTTCTCTTTCAGAATTGAACGGAAAATCGCCACCATTTCCTTAGATCGAGACGGACCCATGAGAGATGTGGAAAGGAGTAAGTGCGGTGCATTTTGGCTTATGGACATTTCACGTTCTGACTCCACTAGCTATTTCTCATGCAATGTGGCATTTTACAGGCTTGCAAGGACGTAAATCAGGTGCCAGTAGTGTGAGCAGTGAGGTATCATCTTCGTCTGGATCCAGCAAGTGGAAATCCACCTTCTCCCCAATCTCTGACCCCAAGCCAACTCCTCCGGATCACCACCAGGGTGGCTCGCCATTCGGTGTGGGGGCTTCCCGAGGCGGTACGGACTCCGACTCGGACCAGAAACCGCAGAGGAGAGGGGAACGTGAGCGGGAGCCTTACGGGAACTCGAACCTCTTCCTCAGTCAGGATGGTGGCGGTCGCTCAGTCGTCAGTGCATCAGAGCGGCCCCTGCAGAGACAGAAATCGCGGGAGTGGGACCTGAAATCCATAAGCGGATTGGCCAGCCAGAACCTCTTTATATCCGCTGCGGCCAGTGGAGGCATTTTGAGTGGGAAAGTGGGCGGGGCCGTCACAGTTTCCTCTGCCTCTCCAGTGGGACAGTACTTCCCCCTGGGCGGGGCTTCAGTCCTCCAGTCCTTATTTGGAGCTCAGACGCCCGGACCCGCCACCGGCGGAGCCCCCCGGTTGGTCAACGGACATTCGGCGCTCAGCAGTTTCTCCAGCGCCGGGCTGGCAGGGGGCGCTGCAGGAGGTGAGTTGGATATCTTCTGTCTCTCTTTCTGTTTTCCGGTGAATATTGAGCTCATGGTCAGAACAGTCGCTTGGGTGTAGAAAAAAGGTAAGTTAAGGCCCAGCGCTGCCACCTTGCCTGGCTCTCCCACACTGCTTGCTGTGCTGACTGTGCAAAGGCTACAGCTACACACCTAGAGGAAATGACAGCAGGTTGTAGTAAGGTGAATTTCACAGAAACATGTCCGACATATATTTCACCCCAGAGTCGAAAGGAAAAAGTATATGTATAATTAAAATTTTTTTTCCACTTAGTTTTTTTTTTTTTTTTTGCTGACTTTTTTCTTCTTTTGATTTTGCTGTGAAATATAACATGTTCTTGACATGCTTTGTGGGATTCACCCAATGAAATGTACTATTTGAATACAAAACTTACAAAGCTCAGGCCTTTTAAATAATTTTCACTGGCCTTGATGGTGTAAACTGATGATTTAAAGGCCTGTGAAAATGTCAGAACTGTTAAGCTCTCTGTTGCTTATGAGATTGGTGAGAAACTCCTTGGCTTTTATGGCTGTATTTCAGGCCTTCACATTTTCTCTGGGTGTTTGACTTAATTGCAGGTCTTGTTTTTGGGTGTTGAGGCATTTCACTGTGTACCAGCACCTCGCAGTCCACAGAGATTAATTAGTTACTTGAATAATCTGATGGATGGATGGATGGAGAGAGAGAGATAGAGAGATTGATTGATTGATTGATTTAGATAAATCTAAATAGAGACATTTATAAACGGACATAGAAATATGGAGATAGATGGATAGATATGTAGATAGAGATATTTGCATATAGATATTGATAGATGGCTAGAGAGAAATGGTGGATAGATAGACGTGGATAGGTAGATATGGAGATAGGTAGTTGGATATGGATGGATGGATGGGTAGAGATAGTTGGATATAAATGGATGGATAGAGAGGTGATGAATAGAGAGATGGATGGATAAAGATAGTTTGATTTAGATGGATAGAGATGGATGATAGATACATGGATTGAAAGATGGATATAGTTGAATGGATGGATAAACGGATATAAATTGATATAGATATAGATATAGGTAGACGCATGTAGATGGATGAATGGATGGATAAACGGATATAAATTGATATAGATATAGATATAGGTAGACGCATGTAGATGGATAGAGAGTTGTATTTAAAGATATAGATATGTAGATGTAAATGGATATAAATATTAGTTATAGACTGGTGGATATATATGAGTAGAGATAAGGATAGATGGATATAGACTGATGTATTCTATATGTAGATGTGTGTGTATATATATATATATATATATATATATAGTTAGAATCTCCATAAAAGCTTTAAATTTATGCACACACTTGTAAAACCCAAACATTAATTGCAAATCTTTAATTATCCTTTATGTACCGTATAGAAGAGGTGTGCAGCGCTCAGGTTTGGTGTGAGGTGCTTCTGGTCCATCAGCGCAGTGCCTCGTCGCTTTAATCTGTGCTTGTTTGTTGGACTGGCTTGCTGCTGTGCACAATCTGGCTCAGCCCCCATCTTCTGTCTCTCTGTCTTTTGCTCCCTCTCTGTGCTGTATGTCTGTAGGGATTTTTCACCACATGGTGCCTTCAGTCTCCTCCCAGCAGTCTGGGGCCAATCTCCCGGGCCCCGGGGCCCTCAGTTCCCAGCAGAGGCTTATGGACACCAACCCCAAAGCGGGGGCCTCGTTCTTGGCCTCTGGCCCCTCGCAGCACAGCCGCACACAGACAGTCCTACATGCTCCCTCCCCACCCGCCCTCGCTCCGCCCCCTCCCCTCCTGAACGCGTCCTCCGCCGCCCCATCCCAACCTTCCTCCCCACGTCCCGAGCGCCACCAGTCCTCAAGGCCGCAGTCGGCCCTCCCCGCCTTCACCTCCTCCCCGTCTCTGTCCGCCACATCTGCTTCCTCCACCTCCTCCGCTTCCTCCCGGCCCTTCACTGTGCACTATCCCCCGCACCTGCCACCTCCACACCCTCCCGGCAGCGCAGGTTCAGGTGGGGCTGGGACGTCCTGGAGGACTCTGGGTATGCAGGCATCCTACACAGCCTCGCAGATCCCCAGCAATCGCCCCAGATAGGACACGTCCAGGTGTAGGAGGGTGGGGGGAGGGGGCGGTTTGACGTGGAAAATAGACTATTGCTAGACGGACACAGGGAAGCTACTGCGCTCTGCCAGCTATAATGTTATGAGTCCCAACAAGGTATGTGGTGTTGGCATGGAAATGGGCTACATGCTTTGCTGCTTTTCTTTTTTTTTTTTCGTAGCTGCATTTCCTGCGAGTTCTTTGGGTTTCAAAAACCAGCTGTTAGACTATTAATGTCAGAATTGCCGTTTTGTTTGAAAATATCATTACATGTTCAGGGCTCAACAATGTGAGGAGTGAATCGGAGTGATTTCTACTTTTACTAGCCCACAAAAATGCTATTTTATTTTACGTAGCAAGAATACACAAAACGTATTAGTAATGTATTTTTGTAAGTGTTTGAAAAATATTAATTTTTTTCATTAAATGTTTTTCCTCTGTCGAAAAAGGACATTTAAAAAGGCTAATTTGGATATTTTACTATGTTCCAATTAAAGAATATTTTTGTAATTTTATAATGTAACTAAATTTCATAAACTTTTTTTGCTGGTTTGATTATGATGGTTTATTGTGCAAAATCTAATTGAGATACAATGTTTAAAAAATTTCTATCATATTATTTTATTATTAATTGATTTATGAATGTGTGTGAATCATTTTAATAGCTTATTTAACTTGATTTAATTATTTATTTTTTTATTCATATTTTATTTCATAGAATATGAATCAATTATGAATTAAATAAAACCATAAGGAAGGTCAATTGTCTGAAATTTTGCTAATAAACATATTTGTGATGGTGCACATTTGAGTAGTGTGCAGGATATATACGTTTTCTTCTGTAATTCTAAAATAAAACCAATTTATTAATAGTTAAATTGAATATTTTTTATGATTCATATTATAACGTATAATGCAAAATATCTACTAATTATCAAACAACTTAAACATTTAATTAACAAAAAAAATTATATTTGTATTTGTACATAAAGAAATCATGTTTTGCACAGTAAGCCATAATAATCATCCAGGAAAAATGGTTATAAAATAGTTTATTATTTTGTTGTATGTAATATTATTACTTGTATAAAAATAATATAAAATTCATGCAATTTTTAGCCCATTGTAAATGATGTCGTCTTGCAGAATTTGAAAAACAAACAAACAAAGTTTTAAACATTGCAGTCCAAATACATAAGTTTGTCAGGCATGTAAATTGTTGAGCCCTGATGTTGATGAAATATATCCACATCTTGTGTAATTCCTGGATTTTACCCCCGACTGGTTACAGGTAACTGAAGAAATCTACCTCAACCCAACATAACCTATGCAATGGACAGGTGTGGACCAATGGGCTCGACTCGCTCACCGGTGCTCAAACTTTTGCTAAAAGACGCCACTGTAAAACTGGCATGGGTATCAGAACTTATCACAGGTGCAGCTTAACACACACACAGCCCCTGAATCACATTCAGATTGACACAGTATGCAGCTTATTATCAATAATTGTGAGTTTAACATGGCCTTACTGATGGATGGTTTTCTAAATTTGCAGCCATCTTCTGGTGGATTCACAATCAATGACACGGGAAGCGTTTTAAATGTCAGGAATATAATTACAGTCAGTCCGGTTTCAATGGGCCGTACACACACACACACACACACACACACAAAAAAGACTTGTGAATCTCTGTAACCTTGCTACTGTTATCAGTGGAGAGAAATGTGGCTTTTTGTGATTGACAACTCCTATTTGGATGGACTCCATGAAGCCCCTGTAGCCTGATACCGTTCCGGTGCTGGGACATCACCCTTACAGCCGGAGCTTGTGCTGTGAACTCACTATTTTAGTGAAATTGATGTTAACAAATCTGTCCGATAGTTTAGTAGTCACCTTGGCTTGGGCATTTTAACTTCTCATCATATTAATTATTTGCCTTGTAAGGTGAAATCTGTAGGAAACCACAAGCTCCAGCTGTATAAGGGTGAATCTGCAAGTGTTATTTTACCTCAAAATGACGGCAATTTGAAATTATTGCTTAATATTAAAACCAAGATTTTTTGGGTAATTGTGAAATTTTTCATGACTGTTAAGCACATTTTCCCTAAATTCTCATTACTATAATGCAAAAAAAAAAAAAACATTTGTCATGTACTGTAATACAT